GCGCATTTCACTTCCATCTCACCTGATGGAAAATGACGATAAAGTCGACAACGGAGCATGCACACCTAAATAATGCCTATTCACTCTCGCCTTGAAAAGGTCCAAGTTATAACGTTCAGGGAACAAGTCTGCAGGCAGGAATTCCACTCCATAGCCGTTCGCCATATAAATGTGAAAGCGAAACGCTTCATGTGAATCCTTGGAATATCCACAACATAGGGGTGGAACCCCAGCCTACGCCTGGTCCCCCGATGGTGGAAAAGGCGGAATTAATTTGTGTAATTCCCTCGCGCACTCTCCGTGATATATCCTGTAGAATACCGATAAGCAGGCAAGGCAGGTGTTCAAGGCTCTGCAGCTTCGCCTCTACTAATTCTGGATCACATATAAGCCTCTTGGCACGCTTGTCGATTGAATCCAAGTTGGCCAGTTGGTATGTAGCAGAGCCATCCCATAGGTGGTAGCAGTATTCCATACACGACCGGACTTGTGCTTGGTACAGCTGAAGCATCTGTCCCAGTGTGTTGTCCCTATCTACCGGCCCGAGAGATAGGGTTTTCCGGAGAGACTACGGGCTCGACGGCAAGACCAGGGTACAGCGGGCGATCGGGCCAAGTCCTCCGCCAGTGATACGCCTTTGCTGGCGGACCCGGACTTGGATATGGACTCGTTGGGGTTTGTGGTTAGCTGCATGCATAACGGACATGTTTGTCTGCCCGGTTTTGCATTTTTTCGGGGCTTCTGTCTCATGACCAGCTAGCGCGTCTTAGTAGTGGTCTAGTTGAGGGCCTGAAGCGAGGAGACGCGCGGAGCACGTGGGTTGCCCTTTAAGTTGGAAACTATGTCCGGAGATTGTCGCAGGGCACTGCGACTGGTATCTCCGGCACCAGCCCGGAGAGCTAGTAGAGCATAAGCTAGATATCCTCCGGTCCTTCCAGCTGCCTAAGTTTGAAAGGGTTGTAACCCTAACTAACCGTGAAGATGTTCACGGCAATGAAATAGGAAACTTCCGGTCCACAAAATTTACTAAAGCATTGTAAAGAAAGGAATAAGACTGTAACAATAAAAAGGTATATATAGAAAAACAGGTACAACAATATAAAACACTCCCTAACTTAATGAATAAGTACACTTACCCCAAAAGGGCCGAGAAACTGAATTACAGAAATAGAAACAGAAATAGATACATGAAGGCTGTAGACTTATAAAATGTTAAACATGATTAGCTTATTAACGCTCCGACTCTTGTCGCGGTCGAGCTGGGAGTGACCGTGGTACGAAAACAAAATGAGAATGAGAAAGAGAAGGAAAATGGAACAATTCAAATTTAAATACATGTAAAATAAAAAATGATAGGATACAAGCGGAGAGAGGCGATACAAAGAGGTGAGATGAAGGTGAAAGGAGGTCACACCGTCACAGGTTATTGGGAACAGGAGAGACGTCGTTTTTCGGCGTCGGGAAGTGAGCGTGCTTTACAGCTCCGCCACCAATGAGGAGATTTGGTAGTGGACCCAGAGTCGACGGCTTAGCGGTGGCAACTGCTAGTTGTGCAATGTTCAACGGGAAGTGAGCTTGTCTACAGCTCCGGTACGTATCTGGAAGATAGGAAGGGTACTGGATGAACCGGATGAAGTCAAGTGACAGAGGTCTGTGAGAAAGTTATACAGTGGCTGATCTGGGGTCAGAACCTGAACTTGGAAGGTTCCTGCGCGCACAACCACGAGCATACACTGCATAACCACGAGGCTGGTAAGGAGGGGCACTATAAACAAAACTTATGTAAAATGATATGGGACTGTCCCAGTGTGAAGTAACACCTCACACTGGAAAGATCGTTTTTTGGTTGCATTTTTGGCCTTGGATTCTATGTATTTGCTGAAGTTAAAATTGGAGTTAAGAGTCGAGTGTGACATTTCTTTGTATGAGATTGTGTATCAGTACTAGTATAGTATTATATTATCTGTGCTAATACTATGGATATGGATAATAGAGAAAAAATAATGCTAAAATTTTGAATTCCTTTTTAGAGTTCGACACCTCTACGGATGCAAACGACTACTCATATTGCGGTCCAGCTCCTTTTTCTGAACCCGAAACAAGAGCGCTGGCAGATTTAGTCCGACGCAAGAGTTCAAAACTGAAATATTATTTCTCGTTTCAAGGTTACGGACAAATGTTCATAATACCTTACTCGGACAACTCGAAGCATCAGGGAAATTATGATGAAATGGTTAGTTCTGAAATATCCAATATCCACATATTTACATACACGCCAATTCCGAGAATGAACTTTGACTTCGAGTAAGCAAAGAACGCGAACTAAGCAAGTTTTTTTTTATATTGACATGAACGAACGAACTTAGCCTATGTGGTGAAATTACAGACACATGGGACTTGTGAACTTATGTCTCAGGGTAATGGGCGCAGTGGCAGTGTCCATCAGATCTTTGCTATTTAAAGCTCTGAGTGGCACTGCAACTGTCATGGACAGGCATGTAGATGGGACGATCAAGTCGTACGCCTGATGGTAAGTTACACCACGTTCTTTAAGTTCATTCATCTTATTTACCACCGGGCACATGACTTGTTCATCCCGCCATTTGGTATCATAAAATAAACAATGTTGTTTATTTAATACACTCTAAAATTTCAGGCAAACTACGCAAAACAGGCAGCCTTAAAAATATATAAAAGATCAGAGCACAAATATATTGTCGGCACTCACCACTCTACCACAGGTACAGACTTTCTGTTTACTTTATTGAAAAAGAAATAGATAAGAAAAAGATAAATTCCCTTAAGATATATCTCAAACCGTTTCCTTGAGGACATGACAGGTAGGAAGATGGAACTAGAATTCCCAACATTGAACCTTACAAGTATCGGGTTTTTCAATAAGGACATAACAATTTTGTATTTTAATAAAACACAGAATAATAATTGAGATTTCGAACTGAAATTCATTCCAGATGCATTACACATGTTATATTTAAGAATGGAATTTGATCTCGTTCATATGACCACCGCGAGCAGGTGTGCGAGATTATCGCTAAATGATCCGGTCAAATGGCCACCTCGCTCATGCGATTTGACGCCGTTGAATTTTATGAGGTTACGTTATGTCGTTGGTTTATGCCAACAAGACAACAACGTTAAATAGGCTCAGGAACAAATTCTAATGTGAAATTGCTAACGTTGCGGCCGATATATGTGGAAAATTGGCTCCAAAGAACTGAACGCTGCAAACGTGCTCCCGGTGGTCATATGAACGAGATCGATTCCATTCTTAAATGTAACACGTGTACTTCGTCTGGAATACATTTTAGCTCGATTATACTGTATTTTATTGAAATACAAAAATGTTATGTCTCTATTAAAAAACCGTATATAACTGAAATGAAAAATGTGGGTTTATCAAATTGAATCATTATTAAATAAAGTGGTTTTCAATGTTTACGATTTCAGGGGCGAAAGCTTCCGGAGACAGTGCCAGCTGGGTGAAAAAAAATTATAAAACCAAGTAAGTTTAATTGGAGTAGGTATAATATTTTTCAATACCTGTTTATTTTTGAATACCATGATATCATTTGTCACTTAATTCGGCAGGCATATTAATCAATAACTTAAATAGTTTGAACGTAGTTACTTAGTTTAGATAATTAATTATATTATTGATTTTATAATTATTAATAACCATTATTATTACATAATATTTTTATCTTAAAATTAATCAAATTAATATTTTTATAATTATTAAAAAAATATATTTCTCTTACATTTATTTTAATTTCGTTTATTGCAATTCACATTTTAATAAACTTAGACACATATATGTGATACCCTGTTAGGGCGTAACACAATTTAAACTTAAACCTAATGATACAATTATTTCAACATATATTATAATATATATTATTCGTATACTTATTTCTAATAATATTTTTTACTGAATTGTGTTTTCAATTATTACCTAAATTTCATATAGACATGAAGTCAATTTCAAATACATTTATCGCCAAAAAATTCAGACTTATTATAGTAGGTTTTTTTTTTGTTTAGAAATTCTTTTAAACGTTTTTCAAAGACCGTATCTTTTTAATATAACTAGGGAAGTTACTACATACGTGTTATGTTCTAAAAAATCTGATAAGAATTATATCACAAAAATCGGCTCCTTGTGCTTATCACGCATGTAGTCTATAGTTTGGGATCTTGACTATAGCTTCGGGGAAACTCTGCTGCAACATATATTTTGCATTGTTTAAAACCCAAAAGAAATGTGTCACGACATTGTTTAGGTTGGGTCAGTGATAGTTTGAAGGTATGAACCTTACTTTAGGAAATTTAGGCAATTAAAGATCTCAAGTCAAATTTAAATAATCTTCGTTTTATTGGTAAGTAAATTATACTTGAAATCGTCATACTGATAAAACTCTACAGCTCATTCGTAAGGCAGATTCCCCTGAAAAGAATGAGCAAGAAACTCTAGGGGTTACTCTTTGGAAATATACATTTGAATCATTGACTTACAATTATATGGACGTCGGGTCCGCGCTAAAAAGTGTCCGAACTTATAGGGCGTAAAAATCGTATACAGAGCGTCATTCACGCTTTAGTCTTCGTTTGTTCGACTGACAGCGAAGCAAGCAAAATTAGACAGTACTGCGATGACATTACAATTTAAATTCAACGTTTTAGCTTTTTCATATTCCTTTACATGTCACTACGTTTAAATAGGTTGACTTGGGGCATTTTTTTTCGTGGTTTTTGTATTAGACCCGTCGTCCATTTATTTGTAAGTCAATGATTTGAATACATTTATCGTTACTATATTTAATTTAAACATCTTAGATCAAGAATACCTGAAAGAGCTAAACGGGTCAAGTACGCAGAAGTTGTATAATAACCTTTAGTATAAAGTTTTTGTTTCACAATAGTTTTAACCCTTGTAAATGGCATATTTTGAATATCAATTGGAATCCCCATTTCCCCTTAAATGAATTTGCGACTTTCAAGAACATTTCATGACTGTCAAGAGCAGCTAGTTTATTGTTAATTTAATATTAATCTTTATTTTTTATTATCTATATTATTATATATCTATGTTTTTTAATCTTAACTCCACCATCGATGTACAGACGGCAGTACATCAAGCGGAATTGACTGATCATGTTCCATTGCACTGGAGCCGATATTCAAACCAAAGTCTATAAACTTTATGTGATGTTGACTGTACATTTATAAGGCTTGTGCTTTTGAATTTTATAGTAGAAATGCTGTTTGTATTAGCACCCAAATTAATTAATAGAATTCGCAGCGGCAAAAAAGTCGTTAAAAACCAAAAAAAAAAAGATCTGTAACACAGAGAAATTCGTATGGTCGGCTAGTTCGTTCAGTAGCTCAGATGGGAGAGCGTTAGGCACGGTATGCTGAAAGCGCTGGTCCGAATCTAACCGAGTTGAAGGAATGTTTCCAAGTGCAGTAATTTCACGAATAGTAATAATTGAATATCATGGTATTCAAATACGTGATTTAGATTCTGAAATATGTGTAGCTGTTGCGAAAATCTAATATCTGGATAATTATAAATTGTTTATTTACACGATTTATCTAATGATTCATCTTTAAACACATCTGTCCGCATTCTAAATAACATTTCAGGTACGTTTTTACAATCCATCTCCGAGACAACGGTACTTACGGTCATGGTATACCCCCCGAGGAAATATTACCGGCTTGCCGTGAAGCAATGACTGGTCTCGTTGAAATTATGACTGTACAACCTAAACACGTTAGTACAAAAATGTTTGACAAATCTTATACCTTAAAAGGGCACAATATTCTTATTGTGGTATGTTGTTTATTAAAGTTGTGGAAATAAATTTTGTAATTCATTTTAGATTCATAAATCTTCTAAGTCGTTTTCTTTATTGCTGAAGGTCGTATCCCTGAAAGTCTTTCGAAACTTTATGGAGGATTTCTTCCATTTGGTTATGTTTTCGGCCTCTCTAAGTGCAGTTCTTATAGAGAGGCCAGTGAGGGCCGTCAATTGGTCAAAGTCAAGGTCAAATAATAATTTATTCCATAGGTAAAATTTTAACACTTGAAAACGTCATTTCTTAAGCTACTGCTCGTTCACTACGCTGACCTCCCTGAGAAGAACGAGCACGAAACACTAGGGATTGGTCTTTTCAAATAAACTTAAATGTTATAGAATACACTTTGAATCATAATTTTCTTACATCAAGACTCATTGTAAAAACGTATAAGTTCCCTATAAAAGAATTCTTTTCCTTAGTTAAACGAAATCGTGGTACTATGAGTTTGGACTTAGTTCTAAGGTTAACATAGTGGTCAGCCCATCGGTCATGTTATCGACGGCGGAGTCTCTTTCCTTCCACCTTACCCATCACAACCAGTTTGTCAGGGTTGTCTGGTTATAGGCGAGTAATATGACCAAAATACTTCAGTATTCTCTGGTAACATATATTGTGGAAAGTAATTAGCTGCAGCAATGCTGTCATGAAAATCGGAAACAATGACGATACCACAAACATAAAGACATTGGCCCAGCTGGGGTTCGATAGAACCATGAAAATCGGTGTGCAAACCACTCGGCCACCGAGGTTGCCTCGTTCGTTGTGTGATTGCTGCAGACTTAATATTTTATGAACCCCAGACGCAAAAAGACGGGAGTTGACAAGATTGAGACCTTTATCTGTATATACGTGTGTTTGACTATTTGATATGTATGTTCGTGACATGCTTCCAAACGGCGAGATTAATAACAAAATGTCTTTGTTTTATTTGAAAGTCAATTAAATCGCGATATATGTTAGTTATGATTGATGAACATCAGTTTAAACATTATCCTCAGTTTTCCCAGTTATTTAATGGATCTCGGTCATAAAATGAATGTTTATTTTTAACCGACCGACAAAAAAGGAAGAGGTTTTTCAATTCGACTGTATGTGTTTTTTTGTACGTATGTTACGCGATAACGCCGGTATTTGTGAACCGATTTTGATGATTCTTTTTTGTTGGAAAGAGGATATCTCCATAGTGATCCCATTTAATTTTGAAGAAAATCATCCACTTCTAAAGGTGGCTCTTCAGGCATGAAGATTCATTTTTATAAATAGCGCCTAAATTTTATTGCAAGGAGCAATTATTTTAATGGTTGATTTTGCTGTTCTCCAATTCAAGGCGTTTTTCCGGTTGCATTCGATTTCACTCATTTTCCGTTAACCAATTTCAATAAAACTTGGCAAATACACGTTATTTCACACACTTTTAAGGTCGGCTTTTGTGTTATTATTAAGCGAAAGCATAATCTTAGTACAGAGTACTAAAAAACCGAACTCAAAAGTAAGTGAAATTACATCTATTTGCCAAGTTTTATTGGAATCGGTTACCGGAAAGTGAGCAAACCCGGATTCATTCCCTAATTTGCTATCTTAGTGGTGGAATATTTTCTTCAAATTTAAATGGGACCAATACTGAGGTACCCCTTTCCAACAAACAAAAATCGTCAAAATCGATTCACAAATGGAGTTATCGTGTAACATCTTACAAAAAATACAGTCTAATTGAGAACCTCCTCGTTTATTTAAAGTCGATTAAAACCATATTAAAACATTAATTTTCTTCCATTTTTGATTAACATAGACTTCCGCAAAGTAACGCCTTAATCTATTAAAATTACTGTCACTTGCCCGATCGATTTGAAATTTGGTGTAATTCAATTCTTGATCTGATGCTGCTACCAGGACAGCCTGCAGACTACTCATCTCTTCAGCTATTTACAATAGAACTATTACGTTTGGGATCTTTAAATTGGTATCAATGACTTGTTAACTTACAGATGATGACTTTGCAATGAAATTTCTAATATTGATGTTTTTTAAAGCACACACTCAACATAGGGTCGCACTAGGGAAACCCTGTGTCGCGAGTGCCATGGACACACACGGTTGTCTATACCACAAATTACACTCAAACTCACGAGATAAATAAATGTAGGCCTTACAAATATTTCTCCCGGCCCGGGAATCGGCCACCGACGCAGTCAATTGTGGTTTTTAAGTTGTAAATCAATGAAGGAGTTTTGATCCCCGAAATGATCTTCATGAAATAATGTTATTTATCAGAGACAATAAGATCTCTTAGGCCATGCAACAAACACTTAACATGTTGTTACTAATAATCAGTTATTTGATAACCTAATAATGTTAAAATCTTTGTATCTATTTCTAATAATGACGTTTAATGACGGTGTGCTTTGTAAAGATTACACTAATTACACATTATATAAAGCTAAACCTGAAAATCAAAACCAACTCACGTTACTGAACAACTTAACGGATATGAACACCATTGATTTTTGGGTGCCTCCAAGTACAATCAACCGTTTTGTGGAATTTGTCATATCGCCTGAAGACAAACCTTATTTTTTTAAAGCATTTGATAAGGAAAAGATTCAATTGACAACAATTATTTATAATATACAAAGGTAAGACACTTCCGTAGATATTGAATTGATCTTTGCATAAAATCCTATTATTTGCAATAGACACAAGGTATAATTTTTCCATAAAACGTCTGCTGGCACTGATACCTGAAAAATAACAACTTTTAGTGAATTTGACCAACAACTCGACGATAACAAAACCCCAGAGAAGTACGACTGGAGCAAATACAACACACTAAACCAAACATACAATTGGCTCACTGATTTTCAAAAACGTCATGCTGAAGAAATGGAAATATTGACAATTGGAAAAACTGCCGAGGGAAGACCTATTAAGGCAGTTAAAGTAGTTTTGAAAGGATCAAAGACGAGGTATTAGATTAATGTTATTATGCGCTTATAGTGTTGAATTGTTGTATTAATTTCACAAGGCTTTTTTATAATATCAAGTGACGGAACGAATATGTCATGCGCCTGATGGTAGGGTACTGTCTATAACAGTTGTAGTGCCACTCAGCTCTTTAAATCGCAAAGATCTGAGGGGCATTGCCACTATGCCCGTCACCCAGAGACAAGTCCCATGTGCCTGTGATTTGACCAGCACTCTAACCCTTTTAAACCGGATCACAGTAATGCTGACATTACTGCTTGGCGGCAGAAATAGATAAGGTATACTTCCCTGGACGAACTATTTCACAAGGAGCTCTGCTGCTACTAAATAAAAACAAGTGCATAGGTCACCGTGTTTACTATTTGCTATGCGCATTAAAACAGAATTAAAATTTTCTGGAAAGCTTGTCACTCACAAGTGTGTGTGATAAACCATTAGAACAATAAACTTCTTCTCACACTTTAAATGCACCATCCTTATCCATTTATTGTATTTTTCATCGTTCATCATCATCAACCCATGTATATAGCCCACTGCTGGTCACGGGTCTCCTTTTAGGCGAGGGTTTAGGCCATAATCCGTCATGGGGACTTCACATCTTTTCCGAGGGTTGTGAACCTTCCTCGACGTGCAGGTTTCATCACGAGGATTTCCTTCATCGAAAAGCCTAAAGGTCACGTGTGTTTATTGTAGGTTTCTATTTCCCACAATATAGCACTGTCTTCAACTACTTTAGTGCAATCTTCGGACTTGTCCGGTTTAACATTTACAGGTCTTCTGTTATCATAGAAGGTGGAATCCACGGGAGAGAGTGGATCTCACCAGCTTTCGTGACGTACATGTTAAATGCTATAGTTACAGCTAAAAGTGAAAAGGACAAGGTTCTGAGGGAAATCGCTTTGACTTATGAATGGTTTTTCATACCTATACTTAATCCTGATGGATTTCAGTATACTCATGCAATGGTTAGTAGTTACACTCTCAGACATATAATTCGAGCCACCTCGCATTTTCAGTATTAAATGATCTACCATAAAGATGTAGTCATATTACAGGAACCAAATGTGTACTTGTTGCAAATTTAAGCATAAATAAATCAGTTATTAAAAAGTTGTTACACATTTGAATACATTTTAAATTAGTGAATTTTTAATTCGATACGTCTGCATCATTACACGGTGCCCCTAATGATTACGGTAGTGTAGCGTTCTAGGCTCATGCGCAGCTGTGGTTTCATCCACTGTTAATAAAAACTTATAAAAGTGTATAAAAATTATAAAAAATTGTAACAATTTATAAATATGTGTAAAAATTTATGTTTTTTGTACCAAAATCATTAAAGATACCGTGTGGCCTCTAAGTCGCGTGATGAAGCGTTAGAAATTTCCGTATAGTGGAAATGCATTCAATTTACTTGAATCTTTTTTTAAATTTCAACTAATATGAAATATTAATATAAAACGTTAATTACGTATAAATATCAATTTATTGCCAAGTCAGGTTTTTATCCACGACATATATTTATATACCATTGTAATACAGTAGCAACTAGAATAATAGCTAGTTGATCATTGCCCCACTATACATATATGTAGTTTAGTGCTTTAAAAGAACGATATTTTAAAAATATTGTATTTTCAGGATCGATTATGGGTGAAAAATCGCTATAACAACCACGGAGTTGACCTTAATGCCAATTTTCCTTACACTTTTGGCAGTAAGTACACACAAGTTGCAGTTTTCATTAGACTTTGTTTTCTGTTTTATCTTTCGCATTACGATGAAAGTTGAAATAGAAAGAGACAGTCGTTAGACACAGTAGAGAGACAGTAGTTAGTCAGCCTCAACTTGTAAAAGTTACTATTAATTAATATTTAATTAAATTTCTTATATATCGTCGATTTAAAAAATAACATTAATGTGTTATATATCAATGATTACATATAAGATATGTCACGTTCATAGTTAGACATTTGAAATCTGTTGAATAGCCCAAAGAAACTCTTTTATAGATTATGATTTGAATGTATATAATAAATGAACAATTCGAAAAGCAGGTGAGAAGTAGAACAATGCAAACAAATAAATAATTAAACGGAAAACAATTTTATTTAATATGAAACAAACGAGAAAAATATTTATTAGTAAAATAAAATATTTTGCTGTAGAATAGAATAGAATAGAATAGAATAGAATAGAATCGTTTATTTCATGTTATCAATGTCACAATATTACAATTGGAAATACAATGTCAAGGGATAACTATGATCGTCAGTAATAAAATTATAATAATAATAATGAATATAAAATAAAGTAGTATAACTACTGCTTGTCGAATAAAATAAAATTAAAATTGTTTCAAAAGAAACTCATCGACACTGTACAATTCAATATCCAATAAAAGGTTTTTTAGTCGGGTACAAAACGTTGCATCGTTTCTAACACTTTTCAGGTCTGTGGGTAGATGTTCGTAGAATCGGGGACCTATTACCCGCGGATTTCTAGTTGCAAGTTCGGTACGGTGGGCAACGGATTTTAGTTGTTGATTTTAGTTTTTAGTAACACTGTTTCAAAATTAAAAAATATTTTCTTTGACATCCATCTCACCTGATGGAAAGTAACGAAGAGGTCGACGATGGAGCATGCACATCTATATAAGCCTATTCACTCTCGCCTTGAAAAGGTTCAAGTTATGGCGTTCAGAATATGATAGAATTCCACTCCATAGGAAGGAACTAAATCGTGCAATTCCCTCGCACACTCTCTGTAATATATTATATCCTGTAGAATATCGATAAGCAGGCAACTCCACAGCAGTGTTCAGGGCTCTGCGGCTTCATTTGTACTAATTCCGAGTCACTTGTAACTTATAAGCCTTTTGGTACGCTTTTCAACTGGATCCGGCCAGTTGGTATTTAGCAGAATAATATAGATGGCCGCATTTATTTTAAATATTTCTAAAATTTGTTTGCAAATTTAACCCTCAATATATGACAAAAATGATTTTAAGATTACAATTTATATTAATCTGCTTATTATATATTAATAGCATAGATGAATAATCACAGTATAGAGTACTAAAAACACCGACCTCAAAATTTCGTTAAATTACATCTATTTGCCAAGTTTTATTGGAATCGGTTACCGGAATGTGCGCGAAACCGGATTTATTCTCTGGTTTGCCACCCTTAGAGGTGGAATATTTTCTTCAAATTTAAATGGGACCACTGCTAATGTGCCAGAATCATCTAAGAATCATCAAAATCGGTTCACAAGAGTTATCGCGTAACATATGTACAAAAACAACATAATGGGGTCGATAAAAAAATAAAAACATGGTTCAGGTCATTAATGACTTTATTCCCTACAATATTCTTATTTGTACTTGTAATATAATCGTCGTCTAGGGATATACTTAAGGAAATATACGTGAGTTTGGTTCAATCTGTATTGATTTATTGTATTCCTGTATGGGGTGGAGCTGCTAAAACTCGTTTTCTCGAGTTGGAACGTGCGCAACGCAATTTGCTTAAAATAATGTATTTTAAAAAAAGACGATTTGCCACTAGCAGTTTGTATCAACTATCAAATTTAGCCACTGTAAGGAAACTCTACATCACTCAAACTGTACTCAGACAACATAGGTCACTAAAATATGATCTAAAAATTTCGAAGAGGAGAAGGAAAGACATTGTGGCACAAGTACCTAAAGTAAATACAACATTTGCAAACAGACAATTCAGCAAACGATCGGCCCATTTGTACAATTTAATTAATAAGGAATTAGAAATATACGCCAAAAGTTATAGAGACTGCAAAAAAGTTACATCAAAATGGCTACAGTCGAAATCGTACGAGGAAACCGAAGATCTATTAGAACAGTTGCTTTAAAAACACTACTTTCCTAATCTATGGCAACAGGTTAACACACATACAACACAGACACCCCCCCCCACACACACATACATACATACATACATACACACACTCACACTCACACTCACTCACTTACTCACTCACACATACATACATACACACACTCACTCGCACATACATACATACATACATACACATACTCACACACACACACACACACACACACACACACACGCACACACGCACACACACACACACACACACACACACACGCGCACACGCACGCACACACACGCGCACACGCACACACACACACACACACACACACACACACACACACACACGCACACGCACGCACGCACGCACGCACGCACACACACATACTTTTTCATATACAAATACACACACATACGTTTTAAGATTCAAATTAAATTTAAAATTAGAAGTTAAAAAAATTGAAAATTGTCAAAAAAAAAAATTTTTTGTTTTGTTTTTGTCGATCTTTGGAAATGTAAAAATTAAACACTACATGAAGTATAAGTTAAAAATGTTAAATATGTATTTATAGCTATGGAAGAGCGGTGCCTCCTGACACAGGCTTGATAAGCTTAATAGGAGGTACCATCCACTGTTAATGTAAAGTTAATTGTATTACTGAAATAAACATTTATTATTATTAATATATGCCAAAATGCATGCACCGGAATTTTTGTAATGGTTGATGCCAAAATCTAACTAATAGTTAGCGTTGTAACCGCTCACGCGATGCGCTCCTCCTACCGCAAATAATTGGCGGCTATTTGGTTTCGCAAATTAAAAAAGCATTCAGTTTAAATACAAGTTTTTATAAATAAAAAATAATATTATGCATTGCTAAATAAATACTCTCCGTACTACCAACAAAAACATCTCAAATAAAATGCAGCAATGAAATCACTCCTTAAAGTATAGTTTATAAACATTTATATTCAGGGTAAACTTAAAAAACGCTACTTACGGTATGTTTTCAATAAATAAACACCGAAATCACCAGCCAAACAATAGCACACACGATTGTCGTGACGTATTTTTGAAGTTGTTTATTTTTTTAAATGACAGACCCAGGCATCAATAACTGTATGGTTTGCTAGAGTAGTTACCGAAATAGCAATTCATATTAGTTCTTTTACCCTGTTATAACTTCGATATCCGATAAATCGGTATAAAATCATCACCGGCTCCTCTAGGTGTGGTATGCGTCTACGGCTGCATGTATCACGTGAGCGGTTATTATGTATAATGAAGTGATCCTTTTTTTGCAGCTGCGCGCATAAGCTCGAACATATCGTCAAAACTTTACTGTGGTCCATATCCATTTTCTGAGTCAGAAAGCAGAGCCTTACGAGATTTCGTCCTTACTAAAAGCACCACGTTGGAATATTATATATCTATCCATTCATACGGGCAGTTCTTGATATTGCCATATGATAATTCAAGAGAACACCAAGATAATTACGACGAAGTGGTACGTAGACATTATTAACTTTATTTATTTGTTAACCGACTTGAAACAAAGGAGGAGGTGTTTTCGTTGAAAAGAGAGTAACCTCAGTGTGGTTCCTTTTAAATTTGAAGAAAATATTCGCATTGAATCCAGTTTCGCACACTTTCCGGTAACCAATTTCAATAAAACTTGGTGGAATATTTTTATCAAATATAAATGGGACTAATACTGAGGTATCCTCTTTCCAGCAAGAAAAAATCTTCAAAGTCGGTTCACAATTACCGGAGTCATCGCGTAACATTAAAAAAAACCAGTTGGATTGAGAACCGCCTTCTTTTTAACCGAAATTCGACTGTATGTTTTTTTTGAATGTATGTTACGCGATAACTCCGGTATTTGTGAACCGATTTTCATGATTCTTTTTTTGTTGGAAAGAGAGTACCTCCATAGTGGTCCCATTTAATTTCGAAGAAAATCATCCACCTCTAAGGGTGGCTGTTCACGCATGAAGATTCATTTTTATAAATAGCGCCTAAATTTTATTACAAGGACCAATTATTTTAATGGTTGATTTTGCTATTCTCCAATTCAAGGCTTTTTTTCTCTCAATATATTTTGAGTAGTGAGAACCGATTTTTATTATCTCCTGTGTCCCGTATAGAGGCGAACTAGGGGATGAATCCGATTTCAATAAAACTTGGTAATTATATATAATTCCACGTACAATTGAGATCGATTTTTTTAGTACTCTGTACTGCGATTATTTGTAGTCATGTCAGAAAGTAGAGTATCATCGCCAGTCACGTGATGTGTAAGTGATGTTTGGTCATTTCCCGCCTAACTGTGAGATGGCGCTACGACTAAAAAGTCGTTGAAAAACCAAATACAAAGACACAACAACAAGCACATAGAAAAATTTGTGAGGTCCGCTGATTCGTTCCGTGATGTGTTGGTATAACGTCTGGCACGGTATGCTAGAAGACGTCGGTTCGAATCCGGCCGGATCGAAAGAATTTTTTCTGAGTGTTCGATCTTTGTAGTAATAATTATAACAAACTAGTGGAGTAATTTCACAAAAAATAGTTGAATATCAATTCAATAAAAATTTAAAATATAGTTATTGTCGACAGTTTTATCGATAGATTGTGAAAGAAGGTAATATTTTGCCAAAAATGTCAGAATTGTTAATGTTACTACGTTCTATTGATTACTAATTGCGTTATGCCTTCTTTGTTCCAATTTTGAGAGTCAGGGAATATATCTTGTAATGTTCTAATCTTACCCTTGATTTAATGTCTTAGCTGTGAAGTAATGCTTGGAAATAAATACATTATTATTATTATTAGTACTATTTTAATAGATATACTTCTAAATGTAGTCTATGTATTTATGAAGTTACAAAAATGGACAATCCAAATGAATTTGTGCCAAGTAGTTAAACGAATAGTGGGTCGATGATGATTCAAATGGTACAAGTTCGGCTTTTTATTGCATAAGTATAATCAACATTCAATCGATAGTCGATAGAATTTTTATCGACTGCAGTCACTACAACACAATCACAACACTTTTGCACAATGAACTAAAATTTTACTCCATCTTCAAAAAAGACAGACTATAGTTACTATATAATAAAATCATACTTCGTTGTAAAAAGCAGACATTTTCTGAGGAGGAAAATATGTTCTAAAGGAACGTTTAGGCTACGAGAGTACCAATACACATATTGTATTATTACACTATATACAGGCGATAATTTAGTTTTTATGATTTTTTTATTTCCAGAAAACAATGGTCACGGAAGTTGTCAGCAGTATATCAAATCGATATGGTACAGAATATACTGTTGGAAATCTATTCGAAACTAGAGGTGGGAGCTTTTTAAAATTAATAAATAAATAATAATTAGACAACATCACATATGTTGCTCTGATTCCAAAGTAAGCAAACAAAAGCCCTTGTGTTGTGGAAATCGGAAACAACGATACCACTAACACCCACATACGAGATAATAACAGAAAAGTTAGTGTATTTTTTCTACATTAACCTGACCGGGGACCGAACCCGGAACCTCAGAGATGGCGATACCATGAAAACTAATGTGCAAGCCACATCACTACGGAGGTCATCAAATTATATAAATATAAATATTATGTGCTTTATCATGCCATTTAACCCTTTATAGGGTAGACTTGAAATTAGTACTACGATTGTAACCACCCGCCCCACCTGACAGTAAGGTCGATTTTACGAATACTGTTGTGTGAAACGTCACCCTTATGGTAATAACGCGTAGTCCTTAAACGGGCAGAGTTCACCAAATTTAACCACCAGCGTTATCTTAGTCACAAATGGCTGCAATGGCGCCAAATATTGGTGGTTACAAATGTGACTTCTGTGCATTTAGTCCATACGACGAGCAGAGTAAACGTGCCGCTGTGTATTTTAATTGTTTTTAAATGGATTATTACACTTTAAGGCCTTCAAGGTAAGTAATTTAGTTATTTATTAATATTACATTAATGTGATATACAAATTTTTTTAAATTAAATTACTCTTTGGGCTACAATTACATCTCAAATTTGTATGCCGAATTTCATCAATTTTAGGTTATGTTTTGAAGTGTCTCGTATTTTGTCTTTCATGGTGATAAAATTTAACTACCCGAGTACTTTATTAGTATTTTCTATTAGTAAAAATATTCTTCTTTTCGATAAATTCACACAATTAATCCTAATAATTTGGGCAAAGATAATTTTTCAAACCAAAATGTAGGTATTTTTAGCGTGCAGGTTTGATCAAGTTATCAGAGTAATGTGGGTAGCTAACAATTAGTATTTTTTTTTTTGCTAATAAGTCAGAGTCGATGTTTTATGTCAAATTATGTTTGTTTTAGATGTCTAGAAAAATTTTGGACCTTGACAAAATGCCCTACGAAGAATACGAAGCCATTCTATGGGCGATTGATGAAGAACAAGCTGAGAATTCCGATGTTGGGGGCGATTCTGATCCAGAGGATCTCCTTCCTCTTAGTGTGTTGCCATCATCACAAAGAACGCGGAAATCTGTGATTAACTTACCAGAGTCTCCACATGTTTCTCAGTCATCTACAGTTCCGCCACCGCCTATTAGAACTTTGTCTGCTGATGAAGATGATATCCCGTTTTTGCATCAAGAAGCCGAACACTGTTTCGACTTACTACAAAATCCCTCCAGAGATATTCCAATGGATGATTCTCCCATACCTATATCTCCAATACCTTCGCCTGCTCCGTCATCAGTTCCTGTGGAGTGCGGTCAGCCTAGACGAAGCCGTGGCGTCCGAACTAGAGGTCCAAGGGTAAGAGGGAGAGTTCGTACTACCATTAGGGGGCAGCAGCGTTCAAGCTCGAGTAGACGAGGAGGTCACAGCGTTCGAGGTCAACAAGTAAATCAATCTGATCCGTATAAATTTCGTAAAATATTTCGAGAACCACCCGAGCATAAAAATCATAAATTTGGCACTTACAGTGGTATTAATGTAGAGATCGATTTATCTTCACCATTAAAAATTTTTATGTTATTTTTTACGAATCAGATGTTTCAGCATATAGTAGATCAAAGCAACCTGTACTCTGGAAACAAATTGAACCTTTATGTAAAGGAACTTCACGCATTTTTCGGTATATTAATTATTATGGGCTTCAACGTTCTTCCTTCTGTACGTCACTACTGGTCTACTGATCAAAACTTTTTTTGTGCTCGCATATCAGGCTTGATGACTGTCAAAAGATTTCTAAAGATCCTCTGATACTTACATCTGAATGACAACTCTACCATGAAAATCCGCGGCGATCCTGAGTATGACAGACTCCACAAAGTTCGGCCCCTATTGAACATGCTCTCTGAAAATTTCAAAAAAGTCTTTAGCCCATCTCGGTTTCTTAGTGTTGATGAAAGCATGATACCCTTCAAGGGTCGCTCAATGCTAAAGCAATATATGCCATTAAAACCGATCAAGCGCGGCTTCAAAGTCTGGGTCTTATGCTGTGCTGTAACCGGATACATGTGTTGCATGGAAATCTACGAGGGCAAAAAAGATAAACCATCATCAGAGGTTGGGTTGGGCGAAGAAGTGGTTATGAAACTGACGCAGACTTTTGTAGGTCTGGGATTTTGCGTTTATTTTGATCGATTTTTTAATTCGCTGTGCCTGTTGACGAAACTTTTGTCCAAACAAATCTTCGCTTGCGGAACATTACTGGCAACAAGAAAATACTTTCCCAAGGAACGATTGCGCGACGACAAAGATCTTGCTACAGGTGACTTTGATAGTGTGATGGATGGCTCCGTTTCTATAACAAAATGGAAAGATAGAGGAAAGAAATGCGTCTTGATGGCATCAAATATGCATAATCCTGCTGCTATTACATCCGTTTTGCGAACTAATCGAGAAGGAAGAAAAGAACAAGTGAAATGCCCCAAATCAATAGCTGATTACAATATATACATGGGAGGTGTCGATCGTTTCGATCAATTAATGGCATCTTACACCGTATCATGGAAAAGTCGTCGTTGGTGGCTAAAAATATTTTATTATTTGCTTGACTGTGCTGTTGTGAACTCCTATATTGTTTACCGGGAGGTAGCTAAAGACGTTCTTCCTCATGCTAAAAGGCTTTCTCATTTGTCTTTTCGAAGTAAGTTAGCTGATGAGCTGATATCTGACTACATGAGTAGAAAACGACAATCTGGAATTACAAACAAACCCAAGTTTGTTGCTGATCAACCTCATTTCCCCGAGAGAACAACTTGTAAACGCTGTGGATACTGCAGTACAAAAGAAAAACCGGTCCGTAGTAGAATAGGATGCAATATTTGTGAGGTGTCCCTTTGTTTAGGATGTTTCAAAGATTTTCATTTGAATGGTTGTAAGAAGATGTGCCATCAATAAGAATTTTATTTAAATTTATAAACTACATTTTGAAGGGCTTGGTCCCCAGATGATTGATGATTATGTACGCAGGATTATTTTTTATTTAATAAGTACATTTTGATAAGTTTACTCTGTTTGTTCTTCTTTAGACTGATTACTTTGAAACTATGTCTGTTAATTACTGTGTAAGACTGTTAATTATCTAATAATAAAGAATTTATGTAATTTAGTTTAGATCTCAAGAATGCTGTCTAAGACTGATTGTTATTGTAGGCATGACAAATTGTTACTATTGCATTAAAATTTAAATTTTTATTAATAAATACCAGTTCAAGACTGTTAATGAGTATTTTAAAATAAACATTTTTGATATTTCTTATTAGAACCTGTTTTTCTTTTTCGTTTGTCCACAATTACTGTCACTGACCCTTAACAGTCATGGTTACAAATATAACCACCGGCTTATTACCTAAATGGTCTTGGTTACATATGTAACCACCCTGTACAGACAAAACCAGGATAATTGACTAGTTAATATTTCATTTTTCAGGGTTCCATTTTAAACCCATTTAGTGTTGAGATACCAAAAGTTGTTAATTTCTATTCAAAAAATTCTGCCCTATAAAGGGTTAAGTCTTCGTCAAACCGAGTTTGGTGTGACGCGATGTAGCAGTCTACCTACTGCTAACACCATAATGGTACACTGGAGACGCTAAAAACACAGTTTTTGCAAATATCAACTATATATTATATCCTTAGATAGTTTGCACACTACATCCGATCCGTATCAGTTCCAAATTCGAGAAATGGCAGTCCGAAGTAATCGTAGTACTATTTATATAAGAGATATATATTCGCAATATATATGCGCCATAAATTCGAATTTCGTCTTCCGAAATCGACCGAAGACGGACCGAAATAACTACAGTATTATTTGTATTAACGTTGTGCTTGTACACTGCGTCCGATCTGAGTCGAACCTTCAGTGGCGGCAGTGCGGAGAGATGGAGAAAAGGAACAAGTATGTCATAAAATGAAATCAAAAGTGGTCACTCTCATTCGGTAAAAATTATAAAATGACTTGCTAAGTTACTTTAGTTCGTAGTGATTATTATGAAATATCCCTCTGGTAAGTCGGTTTATTAGGAGATGGTGACAGGCGGAACTCTTTATTTCTCGATCACCTTCTTTCGTACAAGGACACATACTTGATTAACAATTTAAACACTATATGAAATAGAGCATCAGAATAGCTACAATTGATTAAAATTGGAGGAAATATTACGATGTCTGTATTTTCACCCTGCGAACAAGCGACATCCGAAGTCGCTCCAAGTTTTCTGGGTCTATGTATTCTTGGATTCGGAACGGATATTGATCGGAGTGTACAAACGCCCTTAAGTTGTGGCTCTAACAAAGCCAAGCTGTATTATGTGTTATAATTCATGGATGGAGTTCTTCGAATATTTTCGAAGGGTTCTGTAATGTTTCTCCGATGTGCATTGTAAAGGTTTTCTTATAATGACGTGACCTCATATCAACTGATTTGCTATAGCGTCAAAGGAAGAAATATTCATTGTATGCCAATTACCTTCAGTTGAATCAAGGCGATTTTCCTATTTTCTACTTTGTCTTTGCCTTATATTACTCGTTTATGTTTTTAGCATTTTTGGCCTCGGGCAGTAGTACTTCGTGGATAAAGAGTGCCATTAAAGTCCCGTAAGTTCCAAACATTATGTTGCATGTAAATTTCGGTATTTAGATAAATTGTACCCAACTTGAAATGTGGAAATGCCTGACACTAAAAATAATCCCAAAATAGTGCAAAATAAATAAATATTGCGAAAAAACTTATATACATTAGACAGATGAGACCAAAAACCATCATGTATATAACCGGAAATAGAGATGAAATGTCATCTAATTTGTTTGAAAACTATTCTGCCAATTCATTACCATTTGAATTCGAAACAATTGACGGGTGTCGTCAACTGTTTCACTTCAAGTCGACCAGTTTAACTTGAGCTTTGCTATAATGGACGAAAATTGAAAAATTACATATTTAATATTTAATTACCGATGAAATGTGATTCCGTTTGTTTTGTATTTAGACATTTTGCTGTTTTTCCCACACCACCGAATGGAACAGCCCCCATAGTCAGAGATATTATTATCTTTATTACAATAAATACGAAATATTTTTGTAATATACGGAGACGTACACACGGGTCACTTGTTAGCGCTGTACTATCTCAGCTTTCTAATTTGTGATTTCAGTGCAAACGAGAGTTGATATTTAAAAGTGATATGAGGCCCATTTGCCTGATGAGTTGCCAGGTATACATGGATCTTATTTCGTCTGCTTTTCTGGTTATGTAGTCGATGCCAAAAACAGTCTTATAATTCTAGACGGCGACGTGTTAATAAGTGTATCTAACAATTAAAGATCAAATTGTTTGGTCAGTGCACCTTGTCTAACTTCTGCGCAAGACCCGCGAAGCGCGCGCTTTAAAATTGACATACCTTTTTTATTTGTTTACCGATTGATATAAAACAAACTCTAAATGTTAATTTAAGCTTATGAAACCCACAGACAAACTGATAAAAATTCTAAAAACTGATGATTTAGATTAGGCATCGAGTATATTATCAGAAATAGAGACGAAATAAGGGCCGTATACTCCTGGTAATACATTAGCGATACAGCTCTTATAAATATCAACTCGTTTGCACTGAAATATAGACAGGCTAACTACGTCTCCGTATATTCCAAAAAATATTCTGTATTTATTGCAATAAATATACGTAATGTCTCTGATAATGCCGTGTTGTTCTTTTCGGTGGTGTGGGAAAAACAGCAAAACATCTAATTATAAAACAAACGGAATCAAATTTCATCGGTAATTAAATATGTAATTTTTGTTGCAATTTTCGTCCATTATAGCAAAGCTCAAGTTAAATGGTCGGTTTGAAGTGAAACAGTTGACGACACCCATTGACGTCACCTTTTTGAGTTCAATTGTTTTGAACTCGGTGTAGCCAAAATGATATGGCAGAATAGTTTTCAAACAAATTAAATGACATTTTGCCTCTATTTCTGGTTATATACTTGATGAGATTTGGTAACTAACTTGTGTCAGTAGGTACAACTGAAAAGTGCAGTGTTGCTTCTTTTTTATATTTTATTGTATGTTCTGGTTTCAGATACGTTTTAACTGTGTACCTCCGTGACAAAGACATGTTTGGCTACGCTTTACCATCTGAACAAATTATACCTACCTGCGCCGAAACTTTGGATGGATTGTTGTCGTTTCTACAAATTAAAACAGAAATGTTTGAAACATTTGATCACGTAGACAATAATAGTGGTAAACCCCTTTTGACGCAACTCAATTATTTAACATCAGAAAATGCTACGAGTGGACAAAGAGACGGCTTAATGAAGGCATCTGGGGTTATTTTCAATGTTTTATTTGTAGTTTTGTTACAAGAGTAGTTTTTATTATTTTATGTTGCGAAATAAAGTTTTCTAATTGATTTTAAAACTTTTCATTTGATTTGTAAAAATGAAACTCGAGTACCTACATCACAATATTTTTCCACATCTACGTTTCTCCTCCAATTAACAAAAGCTGAATGGTGGGTTTGTAACGTGACGTAAGTTCAGAGGAAATCATTTTATATAATGATATTATGGTCAAAAAGCTTGACGCTAAGCAATATCAAAAGAAAATTGAATTAATACATGTTGGTAACTCTGACACAAATTATTTTTTTTGAGGTTTTACCACTTTCTCGCGTCGCATATTTCGAGAAGGAATTATCTACTTTATTATATATGTAATAAAGTAGTTATTCTTTGATTGCAAATCGTTCAAATCACTACATTGAAATTACGTGAACTAACATAATGTGCACCTATCTATAGGTAGGTACTGAATTTTTTTTAGCAGTTGTAGATATCAGTCCGGTTCTTAGAGGATGGAAACCATAGTCTGAGGTCCGGTTACATATTAATGTTTTCATTTGAGTTTTTTAAATATGATTTGATTTCCAGACAAAGAGGCCATTAGTATAATTTGGAAAACATAATGATTTAATTTATTCAAACTTGTAATTATGACATTTGAAGACGATAAAGAATTCTTTTAGCAATGATTTCGCTATTGTTCTTTGGAAATGGAATTAGGAAGTTGGAGAAAAAAAATGTATCACTCTTTATACCCAAGATCGCGTACTGTTGCGCCGTTCTCCTTCCATCCTTTGTTGCCCGTGGAGATTATATATGATTTGGGAGATTATTATTGCCCTTGTAACTACTAGTAGTTCCGGTAGCTCCACGGGAGATTATTATTGCTCGTGGAACTACTAGTAGTTCTGCTGGTAGTTCCACGGGCAACAAAGGGCGCTAATGCGTTTAGAAGGTATTTTCTTTAGATTTCCTTTTTTACATAGATAAGATCATTAAAGTTTCACATTAAGGAAGTTTCATTCAAGCGGGACAGTTTGTTGACAAGGAGTATTTATTTTAGTTTATATATTTTTCCATCATTTGCGTAAAGATCTTATTTCGTTGACATACCAAAGCAATGTCAACGGTAGCACAAAGAAACCCAATGTCATTAAAGATAGTATGGGTATATTCTCTTTGGGAGAAAGTAAACAATTCGTAAGACCAAGAATGATAATTAGTAATAAAATTACTAAATCTCTAAGGCCGCGGTTGTTAAAAACAATTTAGAATTCTAGTATGATTTATTTTTGTAATATATAAAATTTACAATTATGAGATTCGAAATTTTAAGCTTCCTATTTTTTTTTCTCCTAAAAAATCATGTTGCATCAAAACGATATACAAATTACACATTATTCAGGAGTGTGCCGTTGAACAGTATTCAGCTGGATTTCTTAAGGACAATGGGTAAAGCTTACAGAGTCAATTACTGGAGAGAACCAGGTGTGATTAACAAGACGGTGGAATTTACAGTAGCACCTGAAGATAAAGAAGTGTTGTTGAAAGCTGCTGAGCAAAATAATGTGGATGTAACGACCATTATGGAAGATGTGCAACAGTATGTTTGAAATATTATTTGCTTACTCATATGCGGGTCGAAAAGTCGAACAAATATTACACATATAGCATGTTAAAACTAATACCATCGATAAACGAAAAAAATCATTTTTCGGAAAAATAACTTTCATGTTTTTGAAAATTTGGTGAGACGATAGGAAAGGGGGCATCATGGAAATTGGGCTGGACTAGAGAAAAATTAATAAGAACAAAATGTGTTTTTGATGTCTAATCTATCAGAAACAAAAACTAAGAACAATATATACCAATTTAAAAGAATGATCGAATATTTCTAAGTCCTGTAGCCTTGGTAAATGACAATTTTTCAGCTTAATTTTCTCGAAGACTATCAACCGCGGAGAAAAATTAATAAGAATAAAAAGAAAATGTTCAAAAATTTTGTAAGTCCATTTTCCATAGTGCCTTCTTTCGTACAGTCCAATCGAAAATTTGTTAAATCTTACAAAGCGAGATTTTCATTTACTGACTGTTCACTTCGCTCGGAGTGTAGGGTTGTCACATTATTATTTTAGTTGTACAACTGCAACAGCCCCCGTAGCATGGCTACGCATGATAGTCGCGACGCGCGCGATAAAATTGAATTAAACGCGCCCTATTGCCTCTCTAAATTAGATCTGATTGAGACAGCCAATGGCGTGCGCTTATTTCATACTAAGCTATACTACGAGGGTAGGTGATCATAACAGTATTCTCGTGATATTTTGAAATAACCTTTGTTAAAAGCAGTACTTACATGTCGACGTTTCCCTACCAACATCGCGAATTGGTATCTCAATTTATCAGAACTAATATAGAAAAGAAAAGAGCGAACAAACTTTTCCATATTAGTTGTGATTCGATTGACTCAGGTGATCATAGTACAGGCGATTCCCAAGATGGAGCCCAAGTATTTTGCGTGATTGTTATTATTTTAGCAAGCACTTTATTATTATTTTACATTTCATTTTATTAGAAGTAAAGCTCTTTGTGAAAGAGTTGATGTAGGGGAGGGTACTACAATCAGTTTTGAACGGTGTGGGTGCTTATGAGATTACAGGCGCATGAGACTTGTCAATTTGTGTCTCAGGGTAACGGGCGCGGTGGCATATAGCTTACCGGCGCGCGTGTTATTCATCCCTTCACTTGGTATCATAAAAAAAACTCTTAAGTGTTAATATTTCAGGGCTTTCGATAAACAAACCGTAGCTACGTATATTAGAAGACGTCTCAGCACATTTGATTGGCAAAACTATTACCGTCTCCGCGATATATATGTTTGGCTTAAAGATCTGGCAGCTGCTCACCCTGAGGAAGTCGTTATCCAGTCAATAGGGAAAACTTTTGAGGGAAGACACATTCTCGCTTGCAAGGTTAATTTAAAAGGAACTCGGAAGAGGTTTGTATTTATTAATGAAATCAAATTAAAGTATTTATTTCCGACTTTGTCCATATCATGTTGGTTACAGAAAACTTATAGCCTATGTTAGTAAAACAGATTGTCAGAGAAAAAATAAAATTACATTAGGTTATACACCAAGTCTCTGGATATATGCGTAGTTCCAGTGCTTAAATGTATCGCAGGTCTGAAACTCCCAGACCAACCGCATAAGGCTGCTGGAACTGTCACGCACACGCCGCATCAGAGAGGCAGTTCTTTTGCATATTATCGCACTGAAGTTATCAGTACGCGCCTCCGCGAACATACCTGATGCACTGCAAAAGCGAGGCAGTCCCAACAGCATCCTAAAACCATTATTGTATTGGACAGGCAGGGCATTGACCGTCTTTTTTAGTGTAACTTGTCCACAGTCTGCCCGTATAAAAAGTTTGGCAAAACGCCTGAAACAAGGTAATTTTAACTTCTTTATCACAATGCGCGAACCTGCCTTATTAACACAAAGATCGAATACTCAGAAAAAGAAATCAATCTTTGTTTGACATTTACGTTAAACAAACCATTTTTGACGAAAAAATAAATTTCGAGAAGACATGCCCGAAGAGTAAATTCAACCGAATTGATCATGACCATCATTGATTTTTGATAAAATTGATTTTTACGCCCCTTTTTCCCCGAACCATCGAAATACTTCTAAAATGGGGACGTTTGAGCCAGCTAAGATTCAAAGCGGTCCTGTTTCATTCTTATAGTTAAACGGAAATGACTAAGTCTAGCGAATTAAATGATTAATTTCTTTGTGACGAAGCCTGTTGCTGATTTATATTTGTGTCTTCCTGACGAAGCCTACGTTGCGGACTGACATAGAAAGTAATTGGTTTTTCACAGGTAGTTTGATTAACTTTCAAAAACTAATTTTTTTTTGGTTTGCAAATACTATTTTATTATTATATATTTATTACACAGTATTTGGCTGATTTTATCCAGTTAATTTTCCATATAATAAGTATGTACTTTTCATTTGATATATTACCTTTTTGATTTCTTAGATAACCGCACACGCAATGCGCTCCTCCTACCGCAAAATGGCGGCATTTGGTTTCGCAAATTAGAAAAGCATTCAGTTTAAATACAAGTTTTTTTAAATAAAAATTATTATTCTGCATTGCTAAATAAATACCCTCCGTACTACCAACAAAAACATCTCAAATAAAATGCAGTAATAACCGCAAATCCTGCACTTAAAAAACATTTCCGACATTTTTGGTGTACTTGGATAAATATGATAATATTCCGTTTGAGTGGTTCTAACGTTTACCATGAAATTACTCCTTAAAGTATAGTTTATAAACATTTATATACATGGTAAACTTAAAAAACGCTACTTACGGTATGTTTTCAATAAATAAACACCGAAATCACCAGCCCAAACAATAACACACACGATTGTCGTGACGTATTTTTGAAGTTGTTTATTTTTTTTAAATGACAGACCCAGTTATTAAAAACTTTATGGTTTGCTAGAGTAGTTACCGAAATAGCAATTAATATTAGTTCTTTTACCTGTTATAACTTAGATATCCGATAAATCGGTATAAAATCATCACCGGCACCTCTAGGTGTGGTATGCGTCTACGGGTGCATGTATCGCGTGAGCGGTTAAATAACTAAGTTTATGTTACTTGTTAAATAAAAAATAAAACAACGACTAATGGATTGTATACAAGGAATATAAGAGATTTTACGGATATTACAATTATAACACAAACTAGATTTTTGTACAATTCGCTATACCTTGCCAGGGTTCATTTGATACTATTATTTACTTCTAACAACAATCACGGAAGAAAAAACAATGGAAATAATGCCTTTAAGTCTTGATTACCATCAGAACCCCTGTCGTCTAAACTTACTTTTACATAATCTTAAACATAATGAAATCTTGATAATAATAATAACGCGCACACACTCATAGCCCTGCACTAGGGAAACCCTGTATCGCGGGTGGACACACACACAGACAACCACAAATTACACCCAAACTCACGAGAGAAATAAATGTAGGCCATACAAATATTTCCCCCGGCACGGGATTCCTCGGCGTGGCAGTGTAACGGAGGTATTTAATGATGGGTCGTAGGTTCTAATTTAAAAAAATATAACAAATTCTAGACCATTAATATAATTTAAACTTTACCCAGTTGGCATATCGTTGAAATTTCAATATCGAATATTGCAAGTTACGACGTTTTGATTTTTATATTGAAATTTCAGTACCTTGCGGTCAATAGCTAAACGACAATAAACGATTCCCGACTACAAGTAGTGTGGACAATCGAGATGTTTTCTTAATTCTCCAAAAAAGAAGCGACCATATTGAGGCGGTGTAAGGTTTAAAAAAATGCGATATACACAAAATTTAAAGTGTATAAATTAATTAAACTAACAATTAACGATGATATAAAACACTACCATCGATAATATTACAGGTATATCCTGCAAAGTAAGGCATTTTCGAGGTTTTGTACGAGATAATTGACACGACCGTAACGTACAAAACGAAAATTATGGACTGAGCTCAATCATGTGAAACTACGCGTACTGTTGGCTCACGTGTCATGCCCATTAAAACTTAGTGTTTTTGTTGTTCTGTGATTGCAATAAACGACATTCTATTGTATAAAAAATATATACGATAAACCTTCTAAACGATTCTTAAAATTTATAACTATCACTTACTATTTATTTTCTTTTAGATCAACAGTTATTGTCGAAGGTGGTATCCACGCAAGAGAATGGGTTGGTGCAGCATTTGTAACATTTTTTATACATCAGATCGTCAACTCTCCTTCGTCAAAGAATTTGGCTCTGAAAATGATAGGTTCGACGTACGAATTTGTCTTCATACCTGTGACGAACCCTGATGGATATGAGTACACTCACACAACGGTAAATCTCAAATGTTCATATTTTTCAAGCATTTCGACAACAAATTGTGCACTCTTTATACATATAATATTTTTATAATATCATTTCTCCTGATAACATTTTGTTACCCTTGATATAGTTTAGTCGCAGTAAAAGTAGCAACCTTACCTATTTCTGCCGCCAAGCCGTAATGTGAGCATTATGCGTTCCGGTTTTAAAGGGTAAGGGTGCTGGTGAGATTACAAGCACATGGGTCTTGTCTACTAAACTACATGTGATCCTACTACATATGTCAAAAGTGCTTTTATCAGGATATATCACGGAGAGTGTGCGATGGAATTGCATAATTTGATTCCGCCTTCCCTTTCCATCATCGGGGGACTGTGTTGTGACAATGTTGTGGATATTCCCGGAAATCGCTCGAAGAGTTTCCCTTCCACATTTATTAAGGCGAGCGGCTAGGGAGTGGAATTTCCTGCCTGCGGACTTGTTCCTCGAACGCCATAACTTTTAGGTGTGCATGCTACATCGTCGACCTCATCGTCACTTTGCAAGAAGTGAGATGGAAGGAAAATGCGGACCTTCATACACACATAGCAACTTGGCTTTATGAATGCGCGCCCGCCTCACTTCGTGTACGGACGCACACATTCGCATAATCCCGCGGTACACTTGCATTGATTAGAACGTGTCGTTGCACATGCCTATCATTATTATGTGAATGTGTACAAAGCGCTGCTACGCTTGTATAGAGTTACCAAGCTTGTCTTTTATGCTATGATTATACGAACTACGTAGAACAAATTATGTATAATATCTAAAGTTTTATAACTCTCCTATTCAAGTAAAAAAAGTTTAAACTAATTTCGTTTCTAGAATCTCTAAACCTCTCTCCTGAAAAGTTGTAATTTTACTGATGTGGCTTTATTATATCAAGGGTGTGAATTGTTTCTACTTCCAAGCTTCTTTCCCAAGTTTTCTTTTTCTACGGTCTTCACCAAACATCATCATCATCAGTCCATTATTCTCCTCACTGTTTGGTGTGAATCTCTTCTGAATATTTTGGAGGGTTGGGGATTGCACACGTTTTCCGAGGGCTATTAACCTTCATCACGATGACGATGATGTTCACGAGAGGTATTTGCTACTACTCATCCACAAACGTACACTTACAACGACCTTTTCATTAAGAAGCTACGTTTTCTACTTACTATCAACATTTGACAAACATTTTCTCGTTTACTCAATTAATACCTGTTCATTATCTTGTAAGGTGCAGTGTGGCTAAAATTTAGACAATACCCTTCTTGCCACTAAGTTTGATGTTTCACTTAATGCCTTCTTATAACTTCCCTTTCATTACTAATCGTCTTAGTACCATTCAATTTACTCGTAGCTGCTTCTTTAATTGCATTTTGTTGTACAGTCAAGAGCATCTCAAGCTTGACACTTTGTTCTTTGGACCTTATTGTAAGCGGCATAGAGTTGGATTGAAGTGTTAAGTGTCAAGCTTGTCGTGCTCTTGAACCTGTACGTATCACAAGTCTAATAACAAGTTTTCTTTTTTTCGTTGTCATGACCTTAGCTTAATATTTTGTATTTAGAAACGCACTATTATTTTCTTCGCTTTCAGTGTTGAGTTTCGTGATCTAGTCACTTTGTCGCTATTTATTAATTTCTCATTTAAATATCTTTTATAGGATCGACTGTGGAGGAAGAATCGGGTCAATCGCCATGGTGTCGACATCAACCGCAATTTTGGAATAGCTTTCGGAAGTTAGCATCGACTTATATCAATTTCCATATTCGGCGTATGCTAAGTGTAGGAAGTAAGTGGTGAGAAAGAAAGGGTGAAAAGGGACTTTAGTTATTATATATAAAATAATCATCACAAACCCAAACTGTTACCTATATCTACAAATATGTTGCTGAGAATAGGGCTTTTCTCTCTGTACTGTAGTACTACGTACTGTAGTAGTAATATTCAGAATTCTATTAAATTAAAATACACTTTATTGCACACGAAGACGGTACAAACAGAAATACTACCATCAAATATTTTAAATTTTCTTTGTCGTTGTTTCCAGCTGTAGGAGTAAGTTTTGATAAAGACGATGAGATTTATTGTGGACATAGCGCATTTTCAGAAAAAGAGAGTCAAGCTATGGCCAAAATTATAAACAGTTATTCGAGTACTTTAGAATACTACCTTGCTTTTCATTCGTATGGGCAATATATGATTCTTCCTTACGCCCATTCGCAAAAACATCAGGAGAATTTCGACGAAGTGGTTAGTACAGTTTTAATAGTTTTTATGATATTATAGTATAAACTATTCCGCTTCTTATGACGGAAAGGTGTGGACGAGGGAGTAAGTTTGTCTTCGTCTTGTTGTTAACTGTCTTAAGGCGATTTTTTTGTTATAAATCCAGCTCAATTATTTCCGAAATTCTAAATCTCGGAATTATAGCAAAATCTGATGTGGAGCATACATTTAATAATTTTCGTAATATAATATTGTTATACGGAAGTGACAGAGCGAAGCACGATACATTGCTTCTGCTTTGTGACTTTGACTGCTGCCTATGGCGTGTCGCTTACCACCAGGCGCACGATTTATTTATGGAACAAACACTTGGTATCTTAAAAAAAAACCCGTAGTAAATATTATAATCGCGACGTTAACCCGTCTGTTGTCCATTTAAGGACAAGTATCTATCGTTAATATGAAAAGGAGAAAGTATAAATCTTAAATGTTCTAATATTGATTTTATTGAATATCACGATATTTTACTATCATGATATCTATTTTTTTTTAATTAGTCCACTAATATAATACAAATCGCAAAGAAAAATTTCGTCGATCTGACAGGGTTCAAACCTGCGTCTGTATGTCAATCTAAGGCCACCGCTCGCGAAGAAAAGTAGTTTCGTTCACTTTTATAAAACTTGGTTAGTTCCGAACATTGTACTTTAGAAACTGCTTAGTAACTTGTAGCAGGTACCAGTACAATATTATAGCTTAACTGCATATGGCAAAAGCAACCCAATGGCATTGATATTCTGATTGCCAGATATAGTAAAATTGGGGGTATGCACTGATTAGTATACGATGTGAAAACACGATTTATTTCTAAATATTTTCACTGTAGAAAAAAACACAAACTTACATCGAAATGTTCCATAAAATAAGAAATAGTTCATATGACAAAAACATCCCAATAGCATTGATATTTTGGTTGATTTTGTCAAAATTTTGACAAAATAATGATTACTAGAAACCTTACCGGATGGAAAAAATGTAGAAACAATAGTTTTGACGACAATTACAAAAGTCACAAATTGGGCCTCACCTTCAAAATGATAACTTTTCAGAATAGAGGTTTAAAAAGATTCTACGAACAAATCTAGTCGATAACTTTTAGTGCTGAAATAGGGGAGTTATCATGTTTTAAATATTATTCATAGCTCAACAGTTAGTAAAAAAACAAAGGCACAAGATGTTATAAAGCAGATATTATCCCTAAAGTAGAAATGGGCTGGCCATATTCAAAGAGTCACAGACAGAAGGTGGTCATAAACAGTCACGAGTTGGTACCCGCTATATAAGCGAAGAAGACGGGGCAGGCTATTGCATTCGCAACATTACTAATAGTAAATTAGGATAACTGGTGCTAACCATACTAATAAACAGAATACGCTGTAAGTAAATAAGTAATAAAGATAAAGCTAGAGTACGAATTACTAGAAACGCTAGTCAGAATATTAATAGCATTCGATTGCCTTAAACTTCACTCTGTTAAGCAGTAGATCCGGAAATTAAAACCATTCTATATCTTCAATTTCTTTTCAGGCTCGTATATGTCAAACAGCCAATAATAAAATAAAACACCGTTACGGCACGATTTACACTGTTGGTACAGCTTACGATACTGTAGGTAAGTAGTCTTTTGATCTTCTTCAATACAGTGCTCTTTATCAATATTAAGAGATAGGCATTATGACAAAACCCAATCGACCCGTCCGGGTTTTACCCAAGTTTTTATCCAAAGCGGGTTTTAAGCCATTTCTGTCCGAAAGCGTGGGAAAAAACATCGAATACTTATTACAAAAATTACTTCAAATGTTCTACCAAATCAACCATCTAAATTAACACCAGAAACTATAAAGATGATGCACCAAAGAAGGTCGCTATTCAAAGAGGGAAAAGTAGACAGCCAAGAATACAGAAACCTGCAAAAACAAATCCGTATCTGATTTCTGAAAGCATCGAGGATATGCTGACGATGCTAGAGGATTTGAGGGCGGAATCTAAAATGACTGGCCTTAAAATAATCGTTGGAAAAACCAAGATCAAGACCAACATTCCTGAAGTCACAAACTACCAGCTTCCAATGGAGAAAGTGACCGAATACATATACTTGGGACATAAGGTTGCATTGGGTTTTGAGAACCAAACAGCGGAAGTGGAACGACGTATGGTAGCTTAGGCGTGGGCTGCATTCGATGCCAACAAACAAACGCTATGTGGCAAAATACCCCTTCATCTCAAAGTTAAAGTCTAGAAACAGTATGTCATGCCCGTGCTGGTCTATGGTACGGAAACCATGACTCTTACAAAGAAGTCCACCGAGAGGTTCCGAGTCGCGCAGAGGGGCATGGAGAGAGCAATGCTCGGAGTTACCCTGCGAGACCGAAAAAGCAACGCTTGGTTACGAAATAGGACCAAAGCTAAAGATGTTATGGTTGTCGTGGCGAAGAAAAGGTGGGCGTATGCGGGGCACATTGCGAGAATGGATAAGAGGCGCTCGACAAGGCGAGTACTTGAGTGGAGACTCAGAGCGGACATCATAGGGCGCGGCATAACACCGTAGCGCTGATTGGATGACATCCGACGACACGGAGGTCGGTACTGAATTAGTCGGGCACAAGATCGCCAAGAGTGGAAGAAGAGAGAAGAGGCTTACATCCAAGATTGGATAATTAAATGGCCGCCATGATGACGACTTATTACAAATTTCAATGACAAAAATCTTTTTCACCCACCATGAGTTGAAGTGGGTTGAGGTTAATGTATGTATAATTCGAAAATACTTGGCGCTACAGGCCTTCAGCTGGGACTGAAACCAAGGACTTCCTACTTAACAGGCTCGCATTTTTGTGCTGTAAGAGTACGACTGTAGTAACACTATAGTATAAGTAATTTTTTTTTTTTATAATACCGGTTTTAGGTAGTGATCGGAAGTCGTACACCTTGTGGTAAGCGATCATCAAGTATATAACGGAAATAGAGACGAAATGTCATTTAATTTGTTTGAAAACTATTCTGCCATATCATTACTGTGATAACTGCGCTCTGATTGGCCAGCCCGAATTCGAAAAAAATGACGGGTGTCCTCAATGGGTGCCGTCAATTGTTTCACTTCAAATCGACCAGTTAACTAGAGCTTTCCGATAATAGACGAAAATTGTAAAATTACATATTTAATTACCAATGAAATTTGATTCCATTTGTTTTGTACGCTATTGTTAGAGATATAATCTTTATTACAATAAATACAGAATATTTTTGAAATATACGGAGACGTACGTACAGGTCAATTGTTGGCGCTGTCTATATTTCAGTGCAAACGAGAGTTGATATTTATAAGCGATGTATCACTGATAAGTTACCAGGAATGTATGGCCCTTATTTTGTCTATATTTCTGGTTATATACTCGATGTAAGCGACACACCTGTCCATAGCAGATGCTGGGTCGCTCAGAGTTCTGAGGAGCACTGCACTTAGCCCGTCACCCTGAGACTTAAGTTGACAAGTCCCATGTGTATCCAATTTTGTTTTTCCTCTAGCCATAGATATGATGAAGAATATTATTAATATTAACAATTATGTTTAGGTTACTCCACTTCTGGAGTAAGCGGTTGCTGGACAAAAGCTTCATTCCGAACTCCGTAAGTATAAATGTTTGTATTTATTTTTAAATTATTTGAATGTCAAAAGGTTTCACCGCCTTTGTGATTTTATTCCACTGGTTTGTTATAATTATTGAAACAAAGATCGAATACTTAGAAAAAATTCCCGATCCGAACCGACGTCTCCTAGCAAACCATTCCAGACGCTATGCCAACTTAGCTACGGAACGAACCAGCGAACCTAATGAATTTTTCTATGAGTTTGTTGTCGGAGCTTTGCATTTGGTTTTCAACGACTTTATAGCCGTAGCGCCATCCGACAACAAGCACAGAAAAGTTCGTGAGGTCTTTGTTTTAATATTTCTTTTTAATTATATTTTACCGCTCAATTTTAAATAGTGGTAGGTATTCATAAAAAACATTCAAATGGTGGAAATCAAAAATAATCCGAAAGAAAAGGTATACAAGAAAAATTTGAAAAATATTTAGTTTGTTTTGTCAAAAAAAATGTTTTTTCTTGAAAATTTGTTTTCTGTAAGATTTTCTTTCATGACCCAACACTAGCTCTAAATTATGATCTTGATGATGATTGTCATGGATATTATTGCAAGGAATTATCAAATATCATTTCGCTTTCAGGATATAGACTTTTGGCAACCCAGACTTTATAATCATTATGTCAGACGACCACACCAATTACCTGGTCTCAAACTAGGAAATATTACTTATATACTATAAGTGCCAGAGCAACGGAATATACTCTGGGGCACTTCCCAGAACACCCAGACTAGAACCATTCCTTTTTATTTATTTTTTATTTTTAATGAATGAAGTTCATCCAACAGTTGTTAAATACATGTTCAATTGACATAGTATTTTGTATTAAGTATTTTGACAAGATGCACAACTAGTGAGGAGATGAACACATCTTCCATTGAGCAGAATATTTAGAAAAGGTCATTTCCCAAATGCATCTGCATACAGCGCCAACAGTGCAAATCATTGGGACACCGAAATTATCAAATATTAATATTTAAAAAAATATATTGAAAGTGCTGCATTTGGCTGCTTAAGAAGTCTTTAAGACCTATTTAAGAGTTTTTAATGACTGGTACTTGGAGTATTTGTATTTATTAATGCATTTATTCGTCCTTTTTACAGCTATGTGATCACCTTCGAACTTCGGGATTCAGGTCGTCACGGTTTTGCTCTGCCTCCTAGTCAAATTATGCCCACCTGCTTGGAAACTATGGATGGAGTGGTTTCGATTCTGAACCCTAAAGGGAAAAAGTTATCCAAAATCCAGAGTTCGTATGGCGAGAGTGTTGTAACAGGCACTGCCTCTGCTTTTATCGTAAATAATACCTCTATTAGGATGTTTAATGGAATTGTAATTATTACTTTACTTAAAATGCACTTTTAGAGCGAAATTTATATGATAAATAAAAATGCAAACTTACATACGATTTTAAATCATCTGATAGACGTGATTGAATAATCGAAATAATACATAATACAGCTTTTTTAATATTATGTAGTAACATAAAAAATAGGTTTTGTTTTTTTTAGTTTTATTTATACTAATAAACTGTACAATTTAAAAGTATTGATGCCTGTTTTATTATACTTGAAACGGAACTCACACTCACAACCTTTGACGTAGATAAGACACACACATACGCACGCACGCACGCACGCACACATGCACACACCCGGCCGTAAGGCCGTCAGTTCTACGAGCTATGTTCAACATGCTAATATTTATAATATGAAATTTTATTCTCTCCTATTTGAAACGTAAAAATTTATATAAGTCTTTCTAATTTCAATATCTTTTAACCTCTATCCTGATCTACGCCATCGTATCACGTGATCAGTCACGCCATCGTTTCCTCGGTCTGCCGCGGCGCTTTGAAACACTTTTGAAACTCCACTGGCTGGTTACCTTGGCCCACAAGTCTTCAGGCATGCGGCAAACATGACCAGCCCAACTCCATTTCACCTTCGCAGCTTTTTGGGCTGTACCAGCAATTTGAGTTTGGGAGCGCAGTGTCGTGTTCTGAATTCGGTCGGTCCGTTTCCCACTAAGTAAGCTGCGCTCCATTGACTGGTCCCAAATTTTGGATCTTCGTAAGTAACCAAGTGAGTGATTATATTGTATAATAATGGGTATTATACTAAGGCATTACAATGATAATGTTCCAGACAACCTAATTCATTAAAACCCAATTCTACACGAGTTGAAATATAAACGTTTCTATAAAACAGCACTGTGATCTTCAGAAAAACGAATTGTAGCTAACTCCTGTATGGTATCGTAGAGCTGTTTTGATCATGATTACCTTATAGATTTTTTTAAGAAATATTTGAATTGCTTCCTTACACTTTACTTTGTTGATACCACGTAACAGGACGAACAAGTCTCACGTCTGGTGTTAACCGACAAGGCGTGTCCTAAATAATCTGGAAGTGTTTGCATGGATAATTTGGAAAATGCTACACTTATCCCAAATACTTTAAAAGTGCTATTTACGTAAAACTTGGAATGTACTACACTTACCCCAATAATTTGAAAGCACTACGCTTTCGAGAATAATTAGAAAGTGCTACACTTGTCCCATGTAATTGGTAAGTGCTAGCTTTTGACCCAAATAATTTAAAACTGCAACATTTGCCCCGCAGGTACACTTGCCTCCGTGTCACCATCTCCATTCTTTGAAGTATGAATTTAATATAATATCCTCAAAACAGGAACGCAATTCGGCAATTCCACGCCCATTTTATACGTACAATATGATGTTATCAAAGGTGGTAATATGAGTAATGATCCGTGTAATCGTTTAGGCGTCACGACAAATCGTCGAATAACGTGACCTACTGCCATTTATTTCGATATTACCAACCAATTTTCGATGATCCCTCCCCATTCGTAACATCAAATTAACTCATCTACAAATAGTTGTCTATTGGTGCAGTGGTTTGCTTTTTCTCGATAAGTCAGCTAACTCTATCCAACAAAGCAAATTTACATTGTTGATCATTTTTGTCGACGTTGACGACGTGGTGATGACAGATGACGCAGTCAGAGTTTTTATGCCTGCCGCCAAGCAGTAGTGCTCACATTGCGTTCCGATTTTGAAGATTAACGGTTGCTGGTGAAACAGGCACATGAGACTTGTTAACTTATGTCTCAGGGTGATGGGCGCTGTAGCAGTGCCTTTCAGATTTTTGAGATTGAAGCCCTGTGCAGCACTGCAACTATTATGGACAGATGTGTCCCGTACAACCACTCACACAACTTGTTCGTTCCGTCATTTTGTGTCATAAAAAATGACAAGCAAGTGTTGGCCAAGAGGTAGCTACATAAACATGAACGTCCGGCACTGGCTCATCTCATTCTCAGACAACATTGTTAAAGTCGCAGTCCGTAGACGGGTGAGATGAAACCAGTGCAAGGTGATGGATTGCACAAATTAGGCTGTGGAGATGATTCGTCAATGATGATGGACTTTTAGAGGATGCCCGTGAACCATATTGGAACTTGTGATGGTTGTTATTGCGATACTATCAAACTACAAAGTGTAAAATACCATGTGATTGGTTGATTTGGATGATCTCTGTATTACAAATTAAGAATTGAATCTTCAAAGCTCAACATAAATTTGACTATCGCTCCCACCAGTTATGACACGAGCATCATTTAGTTTAGGTCAATCTTTTTCGATCTCTATTAGTAAGCCGTTAGAGTTGGGTTTAGTATGTGGATTGTAGTTAATATTTTAGTTTTGTGATGTCGTTTTTTTGTTATGGTATTAATTGCTTGCATTTATTGGATTGTTATTCGTGACTTAATTTCTATGCTGGTTATTAAGTAATGGAATAATAAAGAAATATAAGCCGAAATATACGTTTATGTTTTCATAGTTATAATTAACACAGAAGCATAATAGGCATCGTAACTGTTTCCCAATGGGGCGGTGTTTAAACAAAAAATAACAACTTCCCATCAATGAACTCATACTGCATTACAAATTAAAAAATTAATTACTGTAGGTGGCCACGCTTGGATAAAAAAAATAAAGCATTGAATCTCAAAAATTGGTACCTATATCATACGAAATAAGAAGTATAAAATGTAAATAAGGAATGCAAAACTATTTAAACAATATTTTAGGAATGCTTGAAAAGATAGAATCGTAGGATGCTCAATGGTATAGTTTTGGGTTTGTTAGTTTGAAACGAATTGTATAAATGGCATTTCTATGAATTAAATCTTAGCACTGACATTAAAATAATACAGTACAGACTCGGCATCTTCGCGATTTTACTATATGTAATTATTGTATGTATAATCAACCCCTGAACAAGAGCAACAACTTCGACAAAAATGTAACAGCTGCCATCTGTTTTCCTTTTTGAATAACATTACAATCGCATCGCGGTTTTATTTAATACCATTTATTGATAAGCGATAAGAATCAAAATAAGCGGAGTTACGAGTGCGATTTCTTTGTTTGAGATTGGGTCAATCGCAAACAAAAAGAAATCGCACTCGTAACTCCGCTTATACAGATACCCATCTGTAGTAGCATCTGATTTGGGGGTCGATTCAGGACCTTACGATAATTCAGTCGTTCGATTTGATATCGTACGATTTATTTTTATTTTTATTCACAACACCCGAATCAAACGTCAAACCGTCGTATTCGAAACCGAACCGAAATGACGTCACGCCCATACGATTACTCGAACTTCTCGACCGGCAAAGGCTACAAACGTTATTCAGAACACAGTTACCGAATGAAAGTTACCGAACGTCCTATCGTTTACAAAGCAAGAATGGTATATGGAAATCTTTTATTATTTTAAATAAAATCTGGATTTTGTTCAATTTTATTAATTTATTTGAATGCGAGACTAACACATTCGTATGTTTTAGGCCTTTAAAGCCTTAAACATGTATATAAATTTCATTTTTCTTATAATCTATATTCGCCGACTAACTCCATAAACGTTGTTGGATAACGATATCGTATCCGAATCGAACGTTTTAACTCGAATGTTCTGAATAGTTCGGAAAGCGCCCTTCGAGTCGAGAACGATATCCAATCGAAGGATTCGGTCAAGATATCGAAAAGTTTTGAATCGGGGTCCTGTTAGTGCATCTAAAATAATAATTTGACAACCCTACACTTTTCTTTATATAATACCAAGTGACGTGATGAATAAGTCGTGGGCTCCGGCGGGAGTTGCCCTACTAGTCGCATTATATACCATGTTAGTTCACTTTTCTATAACTCTGTTCTTCTATAACAAAACCCCTAGTTTCTTATAAGAAAACAAATTTCAAGATAAACGCGAAGTCAGCAAACCGGGTTGCATCACCTCGTTAAGTTTAATAATCGCTGGAGAATACTCGAGATTAAGCTGAAAATTTTGCGGAAAATTCTAAAGATACAGCAGAATTCTTGCCAACGCCCGAGTGGCCCTTGTCTCTTCTGGCTTTTGTCTCTGTCGGAATCGTGTATTTAATTTATAGACTTAACCCAATTTTTGGGATAACGACGTGTGTTTAAATTAAATTTAATTAAGTTAAGTTTGTAGTCTTCAGTATAATTTAACTCTGTGACAGATAATGTAAATATTATTGTAGAGAGAGGGGTCTTTTAATAATACTACCTGTGCTGCCGTTCTTAGCTAAAAGGGTGCATGTGACATTTTTACCAAAAATGAGTTACGTATACTGCCGTGATTAGGAAAAAAGGCGCGTCTGCCACTATTTCTACTTTTTTCCTATGTGGATAGGTAAGGAAGTACCGTAAGAGAAAAGGGCGTAAGTACCCACACTTTTATTTTTTTTTTTTTTTTTTTATTTATTTTTTTTATTTATTTATTTATTTCAGGCAACTAGGACCCATAGATACATACCTTACAGACTAACATACATATAATATAACAATAACAATATAAAAACAAAATACACCTATGTATATTATATATACCTTAAAACAAACATACATACAATATAATAATAAAAACTAATCTACACGATTTCCCTTATCGGCGACGTGTGGCGCAATCTGGTGTCAGGTAACCGGCCGCGGAATCGCCGATATATGACACCCTTCGGCCAAAATTCCTCTTTCATGAAGGTCGAAAGATGTTCGGTCGGTATTCTCACCACAAACGAATTGAAGTTCACGTTGCGGCGAGACTCCAACCGCTCGACCCTCAGGGTGTATTTGGTTTTATGACTGATATACTCCACTATTTCCTCAGACTTCGTGGAGTAATGCAGCCGCGACAGGTACAACAGCGTCGTCGGTACGGCCGGACGCAGCAGGAAGTTCGGTCCTGTCGGAGCTGTGCCACACTGGTTACGGCTGGTGGGCTTCCTCTTCACCACCTTTGTGAAGCCATCCTCGTCGCACTGGACCATCTGCCTCTGTGGTTTTGCAACTTCAGAGACAGGCACACGGAAATTGTTTTTATCCTTAGCCGATTGCCGCCGCTCGAATTTCGAAGTGGCGGGTCGGCTAGTTGAAGCGGCTACAGCGGCTACAGCGGCGTATGCACGTGTCGGGGTTGACGTGCACACGC